CATCCTGCCAGTCATAGGAGAGTGTGGCTTCACTGGCAGACGGCCGTAAAAAAGATTCTCGCAGCACTCTCTCATGAGTTACTCATAAAGGATGGTTTCTAAGGTGAGTTTTCTGATTGAAGCTTAGGAAGGATCTGTTAGGATAAGCAAAATTATTGGGAATATAATACACTATTATTATATCCTCTCACATCCACCTGAATTTCGCTAGTTACAGCTCGAGAGTGACTAAACGATCCAGGTAAGTTTTGTATCGTAGTTCAAACATTCTTTTCCAAGCCTTTCTGTCAGCTCGTTCCAGGATATTGATGTCTTTTTTCGAGCATAGGGAAATAGCTAGCAAGTTTTTCTCGATGTGGACATATATGTACTTCTTACACTGTAGTGATTAGGCGTATAGTTGGTCTCCCTAAAGTTTGAGGATGAAACCTCAGAAATTAATAAACCTTATATCTATGATAAACGTAGGCTGAACACTGAATGTTAGTGACTAACCATCATTTGCTGCTGCTGTCATAATTCCTATTGAAGTAAGCATTAAAAATGGCCCACTCCACCTCATGTATAAAAATAGCTACTATGTAAATCATTAACAGTAAATAATAATTGTTGAAAGGCGGTGTGGAGTTTTCAAGGCTTATATGGATCATTCTGTGGGTATTTATCCGTTGAACTCACCTTGAAAATGTTAGAATAACCTTTTGCTTGGAGCACTGAGCATGTTTAGCACTTCCGTTTCTGAGGTGCACTATAATATGGATCTATTTAAAACCACATCTGAGCAAAAACAATCAGTCCCAACTTCTTCTTCATCATCATATACAAAGATGATTTAGTAATAACCACTATCATTGTCCTCTTCACAAAAATATAGCTGACCACTGTTTTAGATCGGATCATCGTAGCTATCACTAATCGCTGTTGTGGCTTCAGGACGCCTTAAATCTTACTGATGACGTTCTTAGTCTATAAGAAGGTAAACGGAGGGCTATTTCCATTTTGAAAATTAGGAGTACTTTGCAATAATGACATTTGTATGACAAGCGTTAGCATCAATTATTCGCTCATCGCCCACTGCTTTATCAATGGGATTTCTGGTCCTCTATATCTACGCAGCCCCATATGGTCCGCTTTAACACTGTAAGATTGTTGACTGGTTTAACAGCCAGAATACTGAGCAGATGATCAATAATTAACTGCCTTATGATAGGGATCATGATAAACAGGAACTTCGAAACATTTAGTCCCCATATTTTTACCTCTGCGTCTTTTATTTCTGCTTATCAAGCCCCATGCTCGAACTTTTAGCTTCCTGGTTTTAGTTTGACCTCTTTTTGACTCTTCTGAATGCTACTGTAGTAGTTTCTGTCCCATAAAGGAAAAGTATTCTACATTGTATTCATCTAAAATCAATTCTTTTAGTAAACTGAGTCTTAACTATTCCGTATCCCCAGTATGTGAAATACGAGCTTACGGTTTGAACCCTGATTTCATTTCAGCAAAAGTCCGACACAGTGTCTAAAGGTAATCGTCTCCAAAGTTAGAGAACGCAAGGTGAAAATGCTACAAGTTCGCAAGAATTTAAACAGTTGCTGTCGTAAGTTTGCTAAGGTTTAAAGATCTTAGCCTACAGTAGTAATTGATTTACTGCATCTATTAGAATTACTGATGTACTGTCGACCTAATTTATACCAACTGAGAAAGACGAAGGTTTGTTTGAGTGTATTGATAGTAAAACGGCGGAACTTTTAACAGGAATTTATAAGTGGAACAAGATCTCATTCTTGTTATAAATACTCTTTGATTTATAACTCACACTAAGCGGTAATAACTTCCAGATTCATTGCTTTAATTACGTGTCTACGAATAATTGTAAACATTTCATTTGAACTGTTATATCGTTATGTCAGTCTCTCTGTCTCTCCCCCTCTCAGTCAGAGTGCAGTTGATTCGTAAATTCGTTTATATTAAGCAGTTTATTTATCCCCTTGATTTTTACTGTAAGGAGTCATGATCCTGCATATGCTCTCAAATGTTTTTCCGAAGGCTGAGCTCTTGCCACAAAAAGATGGAAAGAAGTGAAAAATGGACCAAGTTATATATAGTATGAATGGCACAAACTTATTGTGAATTCAACAGGTAACATCTTCGTAGGTGAGAGCAGCCTACAAATGATTAGTAATTCAGTGTAACTGCTTATAACAATAAACTACTAAAAAATATCTGAAACAGGAACTATTTGCACATAAGACACATATTCGAGTATGTGACAGTAAACTACATATCACAGAAGCCAATTAGATGCTTCAGTCAAGCCATTCTAAAATAATTTGAGCTGGAAATTTCTAATATCACTGTATAGTACTTATAATGTATTAAATAATATGAGTTGCTACCTATATAGTATGGTTTAGAATCGATCTTCATGGCACAAGTGCACCCGCCGATCGTCTTCATCCTAACCTTAATATTCCATTTTGTAATTTACTTCACCCCTCATTCTCTCTTCCAGTCTTTCCACAAATTTTGACCTGCTGATAATCGATTACTTGCTTAAATTGAGCAATGGAAGAAATTTCGGAAAAAAAATATGGTTCTTATTTTCTCTCCTTGTTTGTGATATGGATAGCAGAATTTTGCATCTATCTGGAACAGATGTTGAATCATTCCTATTGTATGGAAACTAAAATGAAACTACAAGTTTGTTTTGTCAGAAGTACAATTTACTTGCTGCTTTTTGGGGATCGATGCATTTCTCGCAGTGTCACAACCATCGTTTAATGCCATCAATGAGTACTCATCCTGATACCTGACTTGATTCGCTTCTTGGGGAACTGAACGAAATGGGAAAATGCAAACGGTCGAATCACGACCCATAAGCATCTTGGTCACCTTTAATCTGACGATTTTGAGTTGTTGCGATGCACTAATGAGGAATCCCTAACTACGATGAAATAGTGCTCTCAGTAGCAGTAGTAATAAACACTACGAAGAAGTATGACTGTTCAACATGTTGTTAACATTGATCACAGCATCACAACCAATTTATCATCTAAGGTCATTTTCAAGCTAGGAAAAGATTCACTGAAAAGGACACGTTACTGATACGGTTGGCATATGTTTATACAAATTGTATTTAGGTTTATAAAGAAAGTATCCTTTCAATCATTGTTCCCACAACGGTCTTTCATACCGGCTTTCGAAGCCAATATTCTGTATTCAGCTTATTCTTAACTTTGGCAATTCATTATTATCTCCGTTCCGTTTCGATTCTCACCTTAGTAACAACCAAACTGGAAAAGTGTCTTCTTGTGAGTTATATGGGTTTGCATTCGAAGCTTCGTAATTATGCTGTTTCATCCCTGATTTTACCCTAATGAAACTGCCTATATATATATATCGTGACTCTCCTATTCTATGCAATGTATCTCGACTTTTGACTGGGAATTACTCTGAAACGTCCTCTCATTCCTACTATGCATTCCCGAATATACATCTAAGAGAATGAGTTTATTGAAAAGAAAGATCTTTTTTTACTCTGCAATCCCCTTCTCTCCTTCACAAACATGACGAATTTTGCAATACAAACTTTTTGAAGTCAACAACTTTCTCATAAGGCATTAAACAAAATTTCCTATAGCTTTGCATCTCATATTACACTGGAATGTCTCACAGACTGATGATATCATTGAATACATTCGACAAACTGAGGGTTAATAGACTCCTTCTACTCTTTTTCTAGAACTCTTGGTGAAAAACCAACATCCTGCGATCACACTGTGTGCAACAGAAATTTGAAAAACATTAACTTCTCTAAACACTTGCTTTTATTTGATCTTAGTCAGGTTGTTGAAGTTTAATTTACTAGATCAAGGTGGAACATTACTTTACTAATTGTGAATAAAAGAAAATTACAGCTAAAAACAGCAAAACCAAGGTTTAATGTGTTCATAGAAGTTTTTTTTTTCTCTAGTAGTTAGAGGTATGTTACACGATGTAATTTACCTTACAACTACCAGGAAAGAATGAATAAAACAACAACTGAATAGGTACTACTGTAGTAGATACGCACTGTGAATAACTCTGTATATGAAATACTTGACCGTTTAAGACAGAAGATATAAAATAACTTTTAGTTTTCTATCATACATACGCTCAAATTAATGTTCAAGAACGTTAACCAAGCAGCATAGAGATCTGAACTACGTGGAGTAGTCAATCCATCAAGTTATATGTATTCATGAACTGAAATGGATGAAAATTTATCTCCTGTTTTTGATATTCCTCATTTTCAGAATTATAACTTACATTTGTTGATACTTGTAATTTATCGCTGTTATGCCGAATCGAATTGATTTAGTTTTGTTGGCATATGAGCTCGTAAGCGGATGCCTCGAAGAACCACCAACATGAAAACCACATCATAGGACTTACATTTTCATTTCATCTATGATGTACTGTGATGTAACCGTGCCAGAGTGAGTTACCAATGCCTCAATTCTATCCAGTACAACGATGAAAAAATACAATTATTAATAAATAACAACTAATACCAGTTGCACAGGAGATAGTTATCCTACCTCACTAACTTAGAGGACAATTCTCTGGCGTTTGAAGTGATAGGTGTGTGATTCAATTCTTATCGGAAACACCGTCACTCCCTGGGATATAGATACATCCTGTTGATGAAGCCTAAGTAGAACGAAATGTGTATTCCGGATTACGCTGCTAACTACCATCGACAAACTACCAATATCCATTTTTCCTTAACTTTTAATGTTGTTTAGCGCAAGAGTATAACTGCAGGACCTTCAGAATGACCTGACTGATTCATTAAATGAATGTATAAAGTCATAGACCGCTACTCTAAGAATTTCAGTAAAATGTTACCTAATGTTAATTAAACTATGTATGAAAATAATGACAATTATACTTCAGTATTTTCCAATGATTAATATTTACTTTTCTTTTATCTCTGCCCTTTCTAGTCAAATTGATAAATGACTCGATCAGATTATTATGATGAAATAGCTTACCTGATGACTGAAATTCATACATGGTAAATATTTGTTGAATGTTTCTATCATAGAAATTCAATATTAGCAGAGTCAAACGTATGGAATTAATGAAAGAATATGCTGTTATACAACACAATGATCCATACAGGTATGTAAAACAAATATACTAATACAATTTGAAATATTGTATACTTACAGAGATGATTCATTTTGCAGTCAACTTATTCAATATAAAAGTGATTTAAAAAGAATAAATGATAATATCAAGAAAGTGGAACAAAGAAATGAAACTTTAAAATGTCAATTAGAAAAATTTAAACGAAATACAAAGGATAACTCTAGTCATAATACGTATACAACAATACACAATGGTTTACTCAATGTTCAAGCAGTAGATTTATTGAGTATTTAACATAACTGAAATACTAATTGCTTTTAGTCACCATTATCCTTGAAAGTAACACCTTCAATATTGGATACAAATGGAAGACAGACTACAATCGAAAAATCGATGTTGAAGATTTTTAACTCACAGTCTAATGAAATATCAAGATCAATAGGGAGAAAATCAATATTCGTTGATCGACATCATGATAAAGTTCAGACTAACAAAAAGAAAAGTACAGATAATTCAAGCTCTCAGGTAATTTGGTAAAAGAAAATTATTTTAATTATTAGAATCAATAAAGAATAATTTTGGAAATAATTATACATCAGATGCTGCTGATCTTAGCTAAGGAAACAGGAACAACTAGACAACTGTTTAAGTCTAGTGAGCATCTGAAACCCTCCCTTATCAGAGTCACATTTCACTGTGACCAAGTATGTATCGGATCACCAATTTGAAATTCCCTGACCCTATTTTCCAACTTAAGTCAATACATGATATAACATAACCATAAACAAATGAAGCTACATACATATTTCACACTTGGTAGGTGACACAAGTCACCATCTTCAAATAGAACTTTACTCCTAAATGAGCTTACACAGAAACCTTAAGTTCCTAAGCTCAATACCATGTAGAAACACGATTGCATTATGATCAGAAGTCTCACAAAAAACCGTCGTCTGTTCCTTTACCTTTAATGGTTTTATGGTTGATATTAGTTCATAATGGAAACTGCCTCCAAATCAATGAATCCCTCACAAACTACTCAATTGAACAATAAGCATCAGTCCATTCAATGCTCAAGGAATGTCAATGACTCTTTGACCCCAAAGAAATAGCCTAAACCAAGGAATATGACCCAACATTCATTATGTTGATCAGTACAAATAGTCAAGAACAATTTTCAACTTTGTACTGAGGATTCACCTGGTGTTAAGTTTTACACTAAGAACTTTTGATGGAGAAAAATACACTGAAGTAATTCGAATGTTGATGTAGTCACGTCCCACTGATCAACGTCAGGATAAGCAATTGGTGTCAGTGAACTTCACATTTAAGTGGTTATATATATGTGTGTGTGAGAGAGAGAGGCTAGAAACTGGATACATCATTATTTAACTATTGCGGTGATGTCTAACCCCGTTATCTAGGACATGATCTTCGTTCTATCTGTGACTTACATAACAGCAGGCGAGAGTGTTTTCACTGAGACTGGGATCCAGTATCCATTGCTATAGGTGCAAGACGCAACTGTCAAGAAGCGGGTATCAACGATTATTTCTATCCGGGGGCTTATAGGGACTTATTCATTGATTTGAGGTTGGAATTCACCGTGGACTGACATTAGTTGAAGAAACATTGGAAACCTAGGAGCACTGGGCAGCTGTTTTGTCCTAGTGTGGGACTCCTCAGCAGTGTGCACCCACGACCCCGCCAGGGATCGAACCCAAGACTTTCGGGTTGATACTTGTAATTTCTTCCTGACTGAATCGATCGGACTGAATGACTAGTCAGTGATCTCAATTTCTTATTGTGAAGATTTCTCCTTCACATACTGAAAAGGATTGTCACTTGATAAATTTCGGAATATCAAGTAGGAGAGTATTTGTTCTTTTCATGTTGAAAATCTATTTAACAATATACAAAGTTGACAAAATCTACATTTTTACCCAAATATCTATCTCTTTTTCCTAGACTCCATATTCAAGACTTCAATCTTCTAGGCTGACTATGACGAGTGACACTTTCATTTACTTTGTAATTTACCAATATTTGTCATATATTGAAAAAAACACTCAGTCGATCTGGTGAGGATTTCTGATAACTAACTATTTACTAATTAATAAGGAGTGCTGAGTAATAATTACAAACGCTTGAATAAGGCCTATCAGTTGTAAAGTTAACATATTCATCTACTAAGTTGACTGAGACTTGCTTGGTGCATTCTGAGCCATTATCTTCCTAAACATGCTGTCAGATAAATTAAGGTGAGCTAGGAAGAAAATTCAGTGTCTTCAGAAATAACATTGGATGGTTCCCACCAGGAATGTCCACTATCCTCACTCCTATTTCAATCTATTGTAGATTTGCAAATGTATATAACCCTGGACACATCCGTCTCTATAGGGGTTGACTTGCTCCCAGTAGAGGTCTGATTTCGGTATGTATTTTCGCCTGTCAAATTTAAGATGATACTCCAGGACTACTCTGCACTAAGTTCTAATTTAAGAATACGACGTGTAGTAGTGAAATGCGTTGACCACCTCACTCACCTGGGAAATCACATTATCCCTAATTGGTTAGTTTCTGACGACAGCTGGAGCCTAGTGAAAAAGGCCAATGTTGTATTTGTGAACCTACAGTTCCAAAGGTGTCAAAGAGACGTCCAACTACTTATCAGAGGACGAGTATGCTGTGCAACAGTCTGCTCTCTCCAATAGTGTCTGCGAAATATGGCTGTTAAATTAGATATTATGAAGGATTAGAGGTTTTTAAGCGCAGGTGTCCACGTAAAGTTGCACAAATGTGGTAGAATCACTGTATCAATGTTTAGGTCAGACGAGGAGTGAGTACTTGTCAAGGAAGGTAAGTTAGTCTAGAAGGTTATGAACCATCACTGACTGAAGTAGCTTGGACACGTGTTGTAGACACATGTCTAGCTACTGCCTATTCGGACGTAAAACTCTAACCAAAGTAAGATTAGGGTCGTTAAAAACAAGTTTTCCCAATAGACTTTCGATGCTCAAATAATTTGTACCAATCATTTAGTGGGATGTAGACTGTCTGGTTGAGGTTTGTAAGATGTTAAGAACCAACAGTTGCAAGCTCTTGGTGATATGGTTTTCATCAGCTTAGATTTACTCTCTCATGGTCGCCTTCACAATGCTAAACGTTTTGCAGATTCTCTATCTATTTGTGTTCTCCTCTTACATTCACTTTAAAAAGAAATTCTTTTGTGTCGTTCTTCCTCTATTCTTTTCCTATTTATGTGTTGTTATGATAGACTGTAGCATTTTTAAATGATTTACTTGTGTGCTAGGCTTAATATTGATTTGTCTTTGTCTTTATCGCTTGTAGATAGGATTCCTTGAGTAGTCATTGGCACCCTGTTTTAATGACATTCAAGATAAGAAATGACAGCATTTCTACTATGGCGCTTTAATCATTTCTCTACTCACATTGGTTTTTGTGACGAGAAACATTCACTTAAAACTTTGAATCGACAAAAAATTGAAGACTCAACTGAAAACAGGAATTTCACTTTATGGATTAAGGTGGAAATGAGATTTCATTCTACTTTCATACATGTTAATATTCTGTTAGTATTGCCTGCACACTCGAGTGTGAGATAGAAGTAGTTTAAATATAAAATAAACATTCGTTACAAGTATATGAGTAAGCTTTAACCCACTTTAATACTACTTCTAATAATATAAGGAATAGATACTTTCATGTCAACTAACTTTACAAAGCATCAGTTAATATGTCTGCTTATCTCATTCACATGATACATGAAGTAAGAATAGACTCTGGTTAACTATCGGGTCTCTTTGTTCATCTCTGTTGTGACTGACAGGTGAGCTGTACTCATCGAGTAGTGTTCGTCAGGTGTGCCCACTCTCCATTGTTATTCAATTTCATCATGGATATTCTTATGGAGGTCTCCCTCTCGTCGCCTGATTACACAGATGTTGACCTAATCGGTGGAGAATTTTCGTTAGACCTAGAATATGCACATGACATATGGTCCTGTTAGGTGAAGAGGCTGACAAGATGTAGAGTTTTCTGGACACCTTGAATAGCAATTTGAGAATGTTTGAGATGCGGTTCTCACCGCCCAAATGCAAATTGTTGCTCCAGGATTGGTCTTCAACGGTGCCCCACCACGGCTAACAATAGAGAGTGTAGTGGTTGAGTATGTTGACCACTTCACTTACCTGGGAAGTAGGATCATCCCTGGTGACCGGCTCAGTGGCCGATGAAATCTCTGCACGGATACAAAAGGCTCGATTGGTTTTCGCCAACTTACGCCACCTGTGGCACCACCGCGATATCGGATTGTCTATTAAGGGTCGCGAATACTGTACAGGAGTCCACTCTCTTCTACTGTATGGGTATGAAACATGGCCATGGAAGGTGGAAGACATGAGAAGGCTGGCTTCAAGTGTTTGACCACCGTTGCCTTTGTAGTATAGATCGTATTCTGTGGTGTCATCACGTGAGTAGTGCAGAATTCAGGTGTAGAGTTTTAGGGAGAGGTAAGTAAGTTGACACGATTGTGAACCTTCACCGACTCAGATGGCTAGCTGGAACATGTGTTACGTATACCTAGTCGCCGATTGCCTCGTCACACAATGTTGGCTGAAGTAGGTTCAGACTGGAAAAGGGCTTGGGGCGACCAGACTAAAACATGACATCAATGTATGAAGTCTCTGACTGTTGGTTTGAGTCATATGGGGAGATGCAGACTAGGTGGTTGGGGTCCACGGGACAAGAGGAACCAGTGGTTGGAGACTGACTGTAGGTGATATGGCTCAGAACCGACGTCAGTGGCGGAGATGTGTACACACATTATCCTCATCTTACCGACGTTATTACAGAATCTCGCCACTTTCTCATTCTTCGTTTCTCTCTTTTCGTACTTTATATTTCATTTGACTGAATTTTCTTTTCTTCATGTTGCACCTTAGTGCCTTTTACTTGATGTACTGATATGAGGTGTGGCAACTCGGACCGTTACGCAGTAATACCTGGTCCTAGGTTGATCTGGATGGATGGTGGATCTCTGTTGTGATAGACTATCGATTTAGAAACTGTCAAGTCAAACCCACTCAATATCAATATGATGTTGGTAATACTGCGTAACGGTTCGAGTCGACACATGCCATATCAACACATGAAGATACAAGTTAGGAAAATAAAAGCTACAGAAATATGAAAAGAAAGTGTAACCAAAAGATATAAAAAGCCATAGGAAAAGAGGAATCAGGGGTAAAAGAATGATGAAATATAATATAACGAATAAGAAGAAGATAAAATGTGGATCCATTTGTTCTAGTGAGGTTGATTCCAAGTTGTATCGCTTAGAGTTCCCAAACGCAAACTTCAGTTGTCACACAGACATGAATCGGAAGACAATGTTTCTTTACCTGGTTCAAACCAACAGTGAAAGGACTCGTGAACCAATGTCACACTTTTTAATCCGGCGTAGTTCAACCTTTTTTTTTTAATCTTAACCCACTTCAGATGAGATTACGTGACAAGTATGCATAACGCTACTAGGTGTAATCGAAATTCTCTGTCAATATCAATCATTGATCGCATCATTAGGAAAATCAGTTCAACAAAAATATTTTAAACAGATCAATTATTAGTCATTTTTTTCTTTCAAAACCATCTTGATTTCAATTAGTTCTTGAAAATTTACTTCATAAGTGTAGATTTCCAATTCAGTTGTTACTTTTGAAGTGTGTTTGTATATATTAAAACTTTGCATACAGTTTATGATGACATATTTTGTCAGCTTCAACAGGTAATCAAAAGAACGAAGGAAATTTTAGATGCACAAGAAATTAATTTAAAATCGATATCATATACTAGCAACTATGATGATGATGATGATTGCGGTGTGAATCCCACAAGACTATGTGAACCATTAGCCAACAATCAGACAGAAGATTATGTCGACATCAAGCAATAGAATTAAAACATACGAATAATGAAGTGACCACAACTGAGATACCAAATCTTTTGCAAAATATATCTGTATCTCCAATTTTGGCGAGAAACTTAAATTATTCAAATGCTTCACCTGAGAGTTGTTATCAAGAATCTTTGTTGCTTAGTTCCAATATTTCAGTGAATAATACCAATGGTGATAGTGAAAACATTGATGAGAAATCCAATAGAAATGCTTCACAGAAATCACTGATAGTAGATGAGATTCAAGGTGAAGAAGAAGACGACGACGAAGAAAAAGTAGAACAGAAAAAGGGAGAGGAAAAGGAAAGTGAAGATATTACTACATCAGTTTCAGATGAAAATCGAGGAATTCTAAGAGGTACGGGTTAGCAACTGTTATTAATGTATCTCTCTTTTAACCTGTTGTTTTCAATGTTAATGTTTTGAGGTGTCAAGTGGTGCTCGCCTACAACAGTGTAAAATGTTGACTTTCCAAAGATTATGCTGGGAAACGTCTGAGGTTAGGTAGGACAGGACACAATACCAGCTCATATAGTCACTGTCTATTTTGAATTCCTTGAGGAAATCTTGACTTCTTAATTTTAGTCATCGAAAAGTTAGAAATTAGCGGATAAATGATCGTCGATAAATTAGCTAGCGTAAAATAGATTGTTATGACACATATTCACCTGCTTTTTATCTGTTGCTAAACTCTGAATGGCACAGGACTCCATGCATAAATGTTATGTCTTCCCTAACATCCTATTCTATTGGGAAATTTGGCAGCTTAAGGTGATACTGTTTTCTTTCTGGTTCTGCATAAGTCAGTTTTACTCCACAAACTTTTAACTTTCTTGTTGGAAATCCAGTATGTTAGATTATTGAACAATTACGGCAGATTCTGTTCTGTTTCAATTTGTCATTTACTTAGTTTCACATGACTTCTGAACATGTGTTTAAGTTAATGGTAGGAGTAGAATAGCGCAGACCTTGTGAGAATTTCCCTATGACCTTAAAAAAGCGCATGCTATCGGCTAACCAATGAAGACGTAGATAGCAGTAATCACGATTATATTCAATTAAAATAGCGTAAATTCATAAGACATACAACTATTTCGTGTAACGGAAGAAGTTTTATAGGCTTGACTTCTGGGCTTAACTTGTTTAACCCTGGGATCAATAATTGGACTTGAGATTGAATGGGATCAGTCATTTATTTTTCATGACAGTTTCTTGTTTAATTTTCAGACAATTCTACAAACTCTGAGCCTTCTCAATATGAATACGTTATAGTGGATTTACTTTATTATTACTTGGTCCCATGGGTTCCTAGTGGAACATAGGGCTCCAGTAGCACGTCTGTATTTCACTCTCTTTTCTTCAGTCTTTTCAACCTGACTTCACGACTACCCAGAAGCTTTCATTTCTTCCTTTCACGATCTCCTCCATGTGGGTTTACTAGTAACTGTATATTATTGAATAAAACTGTACAACGGTAACATCTGCAATTTTTATAAATGTTTCTGTGCTGAAAAGTGGTATTTTTACTAATCATAAGAGTTATGGCTTATTGGTTTAAGTTATTGACTTCCAAACAATCACTTATAGGTTTGAACTTCGATCCACCGATCTAAGTTTGGCTAGTCAGATAACTGTATTGACCCTCACACAATAGGTTTAGCTCATTGCCTGCTGAGCGAGTGTGCACATGGTTGTCGAGATCATTTTCTGTTTTTATTTATTTCGTACTAATCAGTTAATCAGTAACACAATAATTTATCATAATATTAAATGTGAGAGTGAATAAAAGAAATCATTTTTCAGCATAATTTGTGCCTTACCATAAACCAACGCTCGTTACTGAAGATCAGATGACCAGAAAGAATAAGCAACAAAGAACTCTGGCAACGAACCAACCAAGAACCTATCGCTAAACAAATATGCAAAAGGAAGTGGAGATGGATTGGGCATACACTTAGAAGGCCAACTGGGGACATCACGCTTCAGTCCCTTGAGTGGAATCCAGATGGGAAGCGACGAGTTGGTTGTCCGAGGGTGACATGGAGGAGATCGTGCGAGGAGGAAATGAAAGCTTGTGGGCTGTCGTGGAGCCAGGTTCAAAAGATCTCAGAGAACAGAGGGCATTGGAGACGTGCTACTGAAGCCCATGTTCCATTAGGAACCCAAGAGACAAATAATAAATAATAATAAACCAGTCATACTCCTGTTAACAAATCGCCTCCAAAGTATTATACGGTAACTTCAAAACTAGAAATCTGTCTCATAGTAGCTCAATTATCTGTTATCTGCATTCAGAAGAAATTTCTGAATGAAAAGAAACTCGCTGACTTGCTGTTTCAATGAAGGAACAGTCCCAAAATACTACTGCATTAACTTTATTGATAACGATATAAATAACCACAAAGTACTACAGTTCCGTCAAAATCCAAATTTCCAGGAGTACTATAGATTCGTGTATATGGAGGGGTAGACTAGTTGAAAGTGAACTGGATCCCGACTGAAGACCATGGTAGATAATCGTACCATATTACGAATTTAGGAAAATCGGAAATTATGGACCATTAAACTCCAACCAACCGTTTGAATGACTAGCGTGCTCAACATGAGACCTGAAGATCCTGGTTTCGATTTCTGAGGGCCATGGGCTTGTTCTGCTGTGGAGTCCCATAATAGGATAAGACCGCTGTTCACTGCCCCCGAGCTTTCACTTGTTATTGAACTGATGTCTATCTGTGACGAATACTACCTTGGAATTTCTATAAGTCGCTGTAACACTTTTGAAGTGATGCGATCCTATCTTGACAGTTGGAAACTCCTCATAGGTGCAAAGTACAAGGATGATTATAGTAGTTTTGATGAAAAAGTCTTTAAATAATCGCTTACCTACAGAAGCCTTTCTTCTGAAATGATTATCAGTAATTTATTGTTCCTATATACTACATTTTACTTGTTTGGTTCGCTTCATAAGCTGAGTGAAGAATAATGAGTGATATGTAATTACTATTCGTTGATATACTCTTCATCTTCGGTTGTTATACTGAATCCAATTGTTCGACCTGTTAGCATATGGGTTTCTATGCGGATGCCTTGACATTGCGTGAATATTTATGATGACATGCCAACAGAGGCCCGGCATATCGACGGAGAATTACAAGCATGTCAATAATACCTGTTTTACAAGGGGTGGCTATCGTGCCGCAGTGACCTGGTGGATAACGCTCCGACGTTTAAAGTGGAGAGCATGAGATCCAGTTTCAGTGCAAATGCATCCAGCCAACGAGTAACAAATAAGACGAAACATGAGTCCAGGATTTCTGTGCTAACCATAACTAAGTAAATTATAATGATGAGTAAGTGTGCAGAATATGATTAACTTCTCTGTAAGATAAACGATGATCTATTTTTTGTCTACATGAAAAAGTTACTGCGTTAATTTGCACTCTTGTTAGTCAATAAACTTGGACATTTAAAAATGAATGATAATATTCTTGAAAATAGGAGAATGCGCCAGCTATTGAACAAAAGGTGAAGGTTTTGGAGAGTAATCCTGGAACGTAGTATACAACCAAAGTTAGTTTTATTCGCAAATTTGCAGGTAACTGAAATGTAAGTGCTAAAATATTAAATATAAATGGTTGTGAGATAGACGAGAAGATTTTTTTGACTCAGAGTAAATTAAATGCTGATGAAGTCACCTAACCTAGTGACGAAACGTTCAAGATTAAATCTCAAAATTTGGACAACACTAAACAATAACTCTCGACAATAACAAATACCTCTAAATGAAAAAAGACTGTTGTTCTTACCATACTTTCAACAGTAGATATAACTAGTAAGAAGTAAATGATAATTATTGTTAAGAATGCAGTTCGACAACCTTATAAGAATTTATAAACTAGCCTACGAAGGGCATCTAACGCATAATGACTGATGAATTCTTCCGGTGGCCGAAACTGGAGTAGGTGAAGCAGGATCCTAACTGATGACATAAAAATCAATTTCTAGACGCTACTAACAACTCAAAGTGTCAAAGAGATGCGGAAACTAACACAACAACACAAAAATTAGAGGAGAACAAATATACAAGTGTGGATAAGGCCTGTAAGATTTAGAAGAATTTATAGGGCGAATTTATTTGTCCCAGTATAATCGATTCTAAACTATACTACATAGATTACATAGCTATGAATTCCCATTATGTATCGGACCCCTGGAGTCAATCATCACACACCTAACAGTCACATCCTTGTTTAGCCAATTATTTGTGTTTTTAATGTCTAACATTAAAGTGGTATCTCTGTTGCTATAACAAATGGTGCAGCCATATGAATTAGTGAAATTTCACAACCTTAGCGACTGACCTGTTTTCCTCCCATAGAACTCCATGCCATATCAAGAATACATTGTTAAACTAACATTTTTACCACAGATGAGCGATATTTTGAAGTATTTTATAACTGAATATCTGGAAGTATTTTTAAAGTCTTCTAACTTCAATGATCATGACATACCACTACCAGACAGCACAGATCAGTACACCAGCTGCCTGATAAGCATTGGGATTTCTCAATGGAACCATAGGCGACATAGGTTGGTGCATACCAACTGTGTCCTGATTTTAATCGAGATTTCATCACGTACTTCACACATTGGATTGTGAATGTATAAAAGAGTGAAGCGGTCAAAAAGCTCAATAATTTCACTTCTACTAGTAAATTTAGTTCAGCTGTTTTATTCAAAGTATTCATAGAATGTCCAATTAAGAAATCAATCTCTGACAAACTGAAAGTGTGCTGAATCCCTCTACTATTACGTTGGTTCGAAACTAATATCCCCTGATTGACTTCACTAACCGTTCTGACTCAATAAAATTGTGTGACTTCAAGTAGTCGGACTCAAACGACACATTATCAGACATTGTTACAAAGCATTTTGACCGATGAAATACATGGAAATGAAGTTTTTTGTTATGAAACTCAATCTACTTTATGTGCCACATAGTATATTCGTGTTGATAGGCGTTTAAGGACAATCGATAGAAAGCTTTAGAATTTGGTTTCATGCTTGTTTGGAAGTGCTACCTGCTAAGCAAAATCAAAAGCTTTCAATATACTAAAATAGAACTCGGTATGTGAACGGGTGGATCACTGCCGACTAGAAATAATAAACAGTAATAATGAATCACCATATTTGGGAGCTCCGATAAACAGATTAAAATTAGCTTACAGCCTTGTGTAATATTGTATTGATCCAACTTGACACATTTATCAACGGGAAATCGACGTTAAGGATTAACACCGCTCCACACCCACTGTGGTCTGTGCAGTCACAGGGTATCACTAAACCTCCCTCAGAAGG